TTGGCAAAGTGGATGTACTCAAAACTGAAGTTCCTCCAAGGCAATTCGACTACCTCAGTTCGATCAGCCTCTCAATTCCTCATAGACCTCCGAGGTCGGAGAATTCAATCGGACGAAATCATGGTCTCCTTCGATGTGACGTGGTTATTCACATCTATCCCACCAAACGTGGCCCGCGAAGTCTTGCGCAAGAGACTTGAAGAGGCGTACGATGAGACTCAGAATGCCCTAAAAATTGAACACCTCATGAGGCTGTTTGAATGCTGCCAACAAACTTTCTTCACTTTTGCGGGAGAGACCTATGAACAAATCAAGGGAACCCCAATGGGCTCACCTGTCTCCGGTTTGGTGGCAGAACTGGTCCCACAGGAGTTGGAAAAGATTGCCTTCCTCCAACATGAACCGGTGTTTTGGCGACGTTACGTTGACGCAGGTTCGTCATCGTAGAGAAGGACATGCTGCAACATTTTCACAGTCTGCTCAACGCAGTCTTCCCGGATATAAAATTCACGAGAGAAGAAGAACAGGAGCAGCAGTTGCCCTTCCTGGATGTGCTCGTCAGACGGTGAACTTGAAACGACGGTTTATAGGAAGGCAACGAACACCACACAGCTTCTCAGTTTTCACAGCAACCATCCGGTGGCTCACAAACGAAACTGTGTGAAGACACTCTTCAAACGGATCCAAACTCATTGCAGCAAACTGGAAGATAGAGCGCGTGAGGCCCGTTATCTTCGCGACCAGTTTGTGCAAAATGGCTATCCACGGGTATTCATAAGTCGCTGCCTACACGGTCGCCACCAGAGAACTCAAACATCAACGCCACCGACGATATGGCATTCTCTGCCATACATCAAGGGTGTTTCAGAAGCGACCGAGCGCATTGCTGCGGAGCTAGGGGTTGGAATCGCACACCGCCCCAAAGCCACCATGCGCAACAGGGTCATGAAGATCAAAGACCGGTTAAAACCTGAAGAGCAATCTGGAGTAGTGTATCGCATTCCGTGTCAAAATTGTCCTTGTAATTAAACAGGACAGACTGGACGCATGCTCGGATCGCGCATACATGAACATAAGCTGGCTGTGCGGCGAGGCGACGCATTATCACAAGTGGCCGCCCACACCTACGAAATGGGTCACGAGTTTGACTTCGCAGCCACCAAAATAGTTGCCCACGCCGGAGACAAAACAGGTCGGGAATTGATTGAAGCCTGGGCCTCGGATGAGAACTCGGTCAATCGATTTATCGATCTGGCGCCGGCGTACAGAGTCCTTCGTAGTCACCTCCAGTCGTGCGACGTCGGTCGATGATTGGGCCTACGTGCCTTGTAACTGCCGCTTGCCCTGTTTCTGCCACTACCTCTGACGATGGACTCCTGTACGAGTCTGAAAGCTCAGGATAATACACGAATTGTTCCGGTGCGCGACTCTTCTTCTTCTTCAAATATGAATACTGGCTGACTCACCGCACTGGTGGCACGAGCACAAGCCAAAAGCCCAGACACCTGCTTCATCGATTTTGTGCCACTGCGTGACTCAGCTTCGTCGACGACAGTTGACGGATTTCAGCACGAATAATATCGGTACCCCCCCCCCTCCCTCTGCATAGCAGTTCGCCCGTCATTTACGACTATTTGAAGAAGATAGGCTTTCCGGAACAGGTTTATGTAAATGCTGACGTCTCAAAGAGCTTGGTCGGCTCTCCATTGTGAAAACGTAAAATTCACTTAATCGACCAGAAATCCCAAGTGGCGTGTCACGTTGGTCGGCCTCATGCTGATCGACTTTCCTCCCCTCTCGCTGCCTCGGCCTCTAAGGAGATGCTTGACCGGCGTTTTGTCTGCGTGCTTTGTGAGTCACCACTCCGTCGAGTGGAGCTGATTGAACCTCTGTCGGGCGGTCGGTCTGGCGGTTCTTGTTCTTCCTTGCCGAATGGACTCAGCGTCAGGCCTTCTTAAGTCCGGCGTGGTTGTTTGGTCCTGAGCCCGTTGCCCTGTCGGTTTCGATCGGGAATATACAATGGTAGGGGGGCGCTCATCGATCGTTCTTACGGAACTCACTCGTTCCGTTGTGCCTTAAGGGCTCTCTCTCGAGCCCAACCAGCAGCCGCAAAGCGGCGCATGATATAGACAGTAGGTTATTATCGACAAAGACAAGGGAGACTGGGATGGCCATTTCTGGCTTGTTAGCCGTCGTTAGCCAGTCATACCCAACCTCGAAGTGTAACACCCAAGGCTCGAACTCGCGACCTGTTAGTTAGAAGTCCACGCCTCTAACCACTGGGCCACGAGCCCGTTGCCCTGTAGGTTTCAATCGGGAATATACAATGGTAGGGGGGGGGGGGGGCGCTCACCGCTCGTCCTTACGGAACTCACTTGTTCCGTTATGCCTTACGGGCTCTCTCTCGAGCCCAACCAGTGGCCGCACAGTGGCGCATGATATAGGCTGAATGGCATTACCGACAAAGACAAGGAAGACTTCTTTCACTCCTTTAATAGAGAATCAAGGCATCTTTATATTTTATACCCGAAGGGGAAGTATAATTAGATTTTAAGGAAGTTTCTAGTTATGAAGTTTTTAAGTATGAGCAAAGTCCATTCATACAGCGTCGTACCTGTCCGTTTACCGCCGTTGCTCATAGAAATGTGCAACATAGTCCGCATTCATTGAAAAAACTCATGAACTCTATAGGGTGTCTTTTTAAAGGCATAGAAGAATATAAGGTTTCCCTTCGGGGTTGCGTATGACTGGCTGACGACGGCTAACAAGCCAGAAATGGCCATTCCGGTCTCCCTTGTCTTTGTCGGTACTAACCTACTGCCTATATACATGCATGTCAAGTAGGCGTTTGACACTCACTGTTGTGGTTAGGATCTCACTCGATCCCATTCCGTCCACCCGCCAGCTTGCTACTGACAACGACATGCTTATATACCTCACTTCATAAGGCCTACGACGTACTGATGATCGGTAACGACCGTGAAACAGCAGTCTGCGTCTGGCCTGCTGCACTCTTAGCGAGCCGCCCATATTATACGTGGTATTTGTCATATGACACAGACTTGACGCCTGCCTGGTATGATATCCGTGCTCGATGCACGAACTATGACCTGCCCGTTCGCTGCTAGTGTTAACCTCTTCGAGATTGCACGCCGGTGGGCTCGTGTCACTTCTGACCCCCTTGTGACCGTCGCAATTGTTGGCGAGCAGGCATGCTTGTCGGCCGCCCCGCTGGCATCAGCTGTCGGCCGCGCGTGGCGTTGCTCGACTGCCCTGATGGCCTAGTCCGCACTGACTCGATCCCTGTGCGTAGCGCCTGGTAGGCGGGATGTAGATCTGTGGCTCTTTTAAGTGTGCCAGTTAAGGACCAACTTTCGAGCATCAGTCTGGCCATCTTATCATTCGCTCGGTTGATTACCCTTGCTTTCTCATAGGCGAGGTCCTTCATACGCCAGTGTCTTAGAAAGCCCCACCACGAGCGGTCGAAAAAGAACACCCGAAGTTTTGGCTTGCAATCCCTTACGTGAAGAACGTATCAGAGGCGACGGCGAGAATCCTCAAGCCTTTCGGGATCGGGGTGGCTCATAAGTTACAGTCAACAATCAGACAGCAGATAAGGAAGCCCAATGAGCAGTAGTCTGCAGCTTACCATGCCAAAACTGTGATGCGAGGTAGGTTGGTGAAACGGGCAAACATCTTGGCACAAGATTGCATGAGCACCAGCTCGCAATCCACCGCAAGGATAAGCTCCATATGATTTATGGCCACGTACAACAGACGAGCCACAATTTCGCCGACGAGCCTTCTATCTCCATCATATATATGTAATCTTAATCAACAGGTAAGGGCTTCAACCGACGCTTCACAAGTTTTTTATTACCTTAGTACTGATAATCCGTAACTCTGACGACGGTCCTGACGAGGAAGAAAAAAGGAAGAATCGTGTACTTCTTAGAAAAACATATCTTAAAACAGTAAGCAGGCGGTGTAGGAGAGTCCGCAGTCAAGGACGGGTTGTCCTCTAGATGTTTATAACCTGGCTTAGTTTTTGGATCCGATTGAGCAGTATATCGCCATGTTTGATCATCGCCTAAAAAGGATAAGAAGCCAGCGTTAGGCAAAATTATACACTAACCGAAAATGCAGTGTTCAGGCAATAACGAAAAATGTGTATAAACAATTGACACAACTTTACCCTCCAACATGCGTCGACGCACTTAGCAGTCATAACAAAAACGCACACAAGACACAAAGACATAGGTCAAGCTTTCCGGAGCAAGCGCCCCTTCCACCGCGCGTCTGGTTGCAAAAACGCAACATAACAGGATCAACGCAGGGAGATCCGACAGCGGCAGTGGACAGGGTGGGAAAGTCTGAACAGCTGATGGCATGGATCCGCCAAATGCCCCCCCCCTTTCACTGTTTTTTCTCCCGCACTAAGGACACGGCATAGGATGCGAGGAAGACGGCGTGTGTGTGTGGGAACCAACATTTGCGAGTAACTGACGGCTTTTTGGCGAATCAGTGTAAGGTCAGGAGGATGGAAAAAGAAACGAGTTCAGGGACGAGAAATGCAGACTTGGGTGTGGGTGACCGAAGCGCAGAACGGACAAGGCGGAAACCAGAAGAAACACACGTGAATAGAACCCTGGGACGGGTAGAAGTGGCAATGGCTGAACGGCGGAGGTAGAGCGACAGTGGGGGGAGAGGAGGTCTACGAGGTTTGTGCAGAAGCGTCGTTTAGGGGGCACATTTTTTTCTCAGCATGTGCGCAGACTTCCATGCGTCTAATGGTGGTTGGATGACGCACCATCCACTTCAGCGGGCGCAGTGCAAGGGCGGGTGGTCTGGGCCCTTATAACAAAAACTAGTCCAGTGTTTGGCGCAAAGGACTAGAAAAGGGGCGTTCGGAAGACAGCATCGGGGAGGAGCTTTGAAAGAGGCAGGACTTGCTTCGCAAAAACAGAAAATTCTGTTCCTCAAAGTTCCTTTGCAAGGGGATGCTGTAGGTGGACTCCTGATCAGGCTGTTTCACGAACCTTCCCAGCAGCAGGGGTTCCAATATCATTCTCTACTAACCTAATTTTGAGAGAAGGTAAGGATCGGTTGCCACCTCAGACCACATCAATTTGCATCTACTCCTCCACTTGTTCCTATGAAGCAAGTAATATTGGTCGCACAAGACGGCGCCTATCCAAGACAATACGAGAACACCTCCCGGCATGGCTGGGAAAAGACCAAACTAGGGGCATAAACAGCGTCGTTCTCGCGCACGTTGTTGATTCCGGGCATCAAGTGGGCCCCGGCGAAGCTTTTCCTGTGATTCATAAGGTTCCACCGAGTTACCCTAAGCTACTCAGCCAGCGTCTATTAGCAGCAGCAGAGGCGGCCGCAATCAGGTTGCGGGAGCCGGTCCTGTGCGCGCAGAAGAACATTGTTCAGACTCCACACCTACCGCGATTAAAAGTCGACCAACTGCATGCAAGTTTTCGCGTCCATCCGCTTTCAACCCCCCCCCCCTTCTCACACCCCGACTGCATTTAAAAACAAACCTTAATTGGAGTTGCGAAAACTCCCATAGCAGTAATCAGAAGGCGAGGTGGCGGGCATAAGTAGCTTTCGATAAATTCTCGTCGGGCAAGTACAATCAAAATGGGAAGGGGGTAGAAGTAAAAACGCGTCAGTGATAAGATAAATCGATTAAAGTTCTCCTAAAACACAGGCTGAGTGTGGGAATGTGGGGCGGGGGGGTAATAGCAGTCACTGCCAGGGGAGGGTGAGGGCGGAAGGGCGCAGGAGAGTTGTAACGTTAGTCGACCTTCGACCACTGTAGGCGCGGAGCCTGAACGTGGTTCCTTTGTGCGCACAAGATTGGTTTTCGCAACCTGATGGCGGCCGCCTCTTCCTACACCCGGCCTGTGTTTTAAGGCGAACTCTAATCGATTTATCTTATCACTGACATGTTTTTACTTCTACCCCCTTCCCATATAATTGTACTGGCCCGACGAGAATTTATCAAAAACTTTAATTGGTTTCTCCTATTACTGACATGCTTTACTCGACCCCGTTCCTGACGAGAATTTATCACAACCAGACGTAGGCTCGCAAACTGGTCTTCTGAAAACAATGAATCCCTGGCCACATTGGGAGGGGCATTCAACGAGCTCCCTGGTCTCTGTGCCTTAAACGGACGACCGGTCAGGTCGAAAGGAGGGGTAGGTAGGTGGGTGAGTGGGTGGATGATGGGTGGAAGCAGTCGATTAATGTCATAGGGACGCGAGCGCGCGACAGCGCCTAACCGCCGTAGACGC